TCTGAAACTCAGCAGATCAAAATGTAATAACAATAAAAATAGGTAGTACAAAAAATTTAGGCTGGAAATTAGCATAGAGAATCTTGCCTCAATCAGGATTAAAACCAGCCTTTCAATACGGTGGGTGCTTTTTTTGGTGCTCAGACTGTTTATGACAAGTGTTTCACAATACAGTGCCTGCAAAAAAAGGCGATTTGATGCAGTGATGTAGGGGTCCTTTCTGAGGTTTTGTTTCTACCCTCAAGTAAACGGGCTACATCTCAACATAAACATGACTTTGTAGAAAAAAAGAATAGGTGCATTTCTTTAATGAAGGAATTAGTTGGTGTTTAGATGATGTGTTAGTGTCATCCAGCTTGCAGAACAAACACTGTTGGCCAAATCCTCAATGGAAAATAAATCACGACTTCATTTAACAAGCTGTCACATATTATATCAGTCTGGCTGCAAATGTTAAACCTGCTATAGCAGTTTCTGTGTGCAAAGTAAGTAGATCTTCGTCCTTCCAGAATGTGAGCTGGAATGGATTAGGGGAAAAGTATTTACTCTGGATGCAAAAGTGCCTTGGGCAGTATTTCTTTCAGAGTAGCACTGTGGCACCATGTGTAACAAACTGCAAAGGCCCTCTGCTTCTCAGTAAAAAAAAAGGACTGTTGTGGTTTAACCCGGCAGCTGGCAACTAGCACCAGACAGCCACTCACTCACCCCTCCCCTTCCCCCCCAGTAGACTGGGGAGGAGAAATGGACAAAAGGGAAAACTTGTAGGTTGGGATAAAGACAGTTTAATAAAACAACAAAGGAAAATTCTAATACTAATGAATATGCAAAACAAGGTGTACACAGTACAATTTTTTTCTCATGCCCAGAAGACCAATTGCATAGCCAGTCCCCGGGCAGTGATCATAGAATGCTTTATATTTTGTTCTGCATGCTGAACTTGGCCTTTTACTCTCTTCCTCATGAGAAGAAGAATAAAGTAAGTTATATTGTTTATTTATGCTTAAGTGACATTTTCCTGCTATTCTATACAAAAATAGATCATTGACTGGAAATGGTAGGTTGTATGCCCTCTTTTTCATACTTTGCAGAGAACAGATAAGGGACTGCTGTGAAAACATGTTTATGACCTCACTTATATATGGTTAAAATCTCAGTCATACCTTGTTTAGTGCTTGGCTTTAGCATAGTACTTTTCTTCCTAGCATTTTCTTACTCAATACAAAGAGAAGGCAGCATAAGAATATTCTCTACATTTTTTTCTTTTGGATGATTGTACCTCTAAATACAAAATATATCAACTGTGAGTTGTAAGTAGCAGGTACTTCTACAAGTGCATTCATTCCCAGTAAAATAAAATCTGCTTTGTAGTCATGGAGTATGTGATCAACTTGCAAGGCTGAACTTCCTTGTTTCCATGGTTTTGAAACTAGATGCATTGTGTTTGGATCACAGCAAAGTAAAACATTAATTTCCCAAGGGCATGCTTTCAAGATTCTACTAGAGCAATTTAGATGTCTTCTGAAAAGATTTTACTTGATTTAATAGTACAGAATTTTGTTCTAAGAATTTGGATAAGAAAAACAGGCTGTTTGGATTCAGGTGTTTTTGCGGCAAAAGAAGTCAGAATGATTCCAGCACATAGGAGAAGCAAAGAAACAGTGAAATGGAGACAAATGTAAGTTTACTAGAATAGTTTTTTAGGCTATGATTTTTTGTATCTGGAGCAAGATTCCACAGTAAACTAGAACAGGAGGAAACAGAGACGATAGCACTGAAACACACTAGGACAGAGAAAGTAAGAAGGCATTAAAACACTAGTGAAAGAGAATTTACAAGATATATTAAGGAAAGAAACTACATGAAAGCAGTAGCATTCAAGAAAGTTATGTACGCAGGTAAGCTTGAACTCTAGCCAGGTTTCTCTGTAAATCTGCTTCAGTTTTATTCACCTCATACACTCTAATTCCAGCACTGATGCAATGCCACTGAGTTCAGTTTTTTACTATTGATAAAACTGAACTAACCATAGAGAATCACATCTCTTTACTGACAATGGATTTCTTGCAGCTTCCTCTGAAGCACTTAGTCATACCTATTGTCACAGGATACAGCTGCAGGTGCAAAGCTTACACAGTCCAACATTGCAAATGTTAATCCAGCAAAAAGAGACTTGTTGTATGAACCTCTCACAGAAGATGTTGTCCTTCTTTATCCCCTTTCCTTTGTACTATGTACACAACCACCTGAAGTGTCCTGTCTGCTTAGTTAAACTAGAGAAGTCTTTGAAGTGTTACCGAAAAGATTTTAATTTTGAGTCTTTTCCACTGCTGCTACTATGAGGATTGTCACAGAAGGATCGTTAGTATGCACCAGCAGTAGTATATTATCCAACTGTACTTGGGAATAGATATAGATACAACAATCATAAAGTGACCTCAGCCTTGCTTCTGAGCTGACCTCATCTAGAGTACTGTGTCCAGTTCTGGGCTCCCCAGTTCAAGCAGGATGAAGAGCTACTGGAGAGAGTCCAGCGGAGGGCTACAAGGATGGTGAGGGGACTGGAGCATCTCCACTACGAGGAGAGGTTGAGGGAACTGGGCTTGTTCAGCCTGAAGAAGAGAAGGCTGCGAGGGGACCTTATAAATGCCTACAAATATCTGAAGGGTGGGTGTCAGGAGGATGGGGACAAGCTCTTTTCAGTGGTGCCCAGTGACAGGACAAGGGGCAATGGGCACAAACTGAAGCACAGGAAGTTCCGTCTGAACATGAGGAAGAACTTCTTCCCTCTGAGGGTGACGGAGCACTGGAACAGGCTGCCCAGGGAGGTTGTGGAGTCTCCTTCAAAAACTAACCAAGCCACACAAAACAACACGCTAAGGAAATGTTAAGGAAAATGCCAATGCAGATAAAGCCTGGTTACACACAACAGTTTTTGCATGACCTTATTTCACTCAGAGCAGCTTGCTACTAGTAGTCTTCAGAAGAGGGGACATGGTTCCTTCTGAGCTTCATACAATACCAAAATTCTCTCAATGGAATTCACACATTGGATCAGCTTGACACATTGAGCCTGTGATCTCTGAAGAAAAAAGCCTTGTAACTACATCTTGCTCGGAACACCCACCCTAATATTGAAGGAAACAAGTTGAAGAGCAGTGTTAGCTGAAAACTTCTCATCAATGTGACCTTCTTATTTGGAGGGGGGAGGGGAAGGTTCAAGCATGAAATTAGATTTTAACTGAATATATTTTTCTGTGTTCTTTGAAGTGGAGTATTATTGATTTACCAAGACATCATGAAGTTAAAATCCAACTACATTTTTGTGAGGAAAAAAGCCCCAACATTTTGGCATTGGATTTTTTTTAATATTTCCAGCAAAATCAATTTTTAAAAAGAATTTTTGCCAGTAGGATTCCCCTTTGTCTCCCCCATTTTCTTCAACATTTTGTGACATGTCCATACTCCTTTACTGTTTGAGTGGCTGTATTCAAAAATGTAGACTGTCTCTGATGCTACCATAATCTGTCTGTATGACCCTCAGCAGGTTCCTCACTGTTCTTCTGAGATAGTTCTTTACCTGCAGAATAGGGACAGGTTTTGTATCTCCAGTGCACATGTTGTGAGGTTACCAATGCAAATTTTCATAATGTTTGTGAAGCATTTCCATTTTTTCCAGTGGGTAGTACTGAAGTAACCGTTTTGGATCCCTCATTTTGTCAGCCAAACACATTATAGATAGGTGTTCCTTCACTGCCAACAACGACTGCATTCGTTTTGCTTTACAATATCACCAAGGAGCCATTTTTATTTTCTGGCCAAGTGGAATGGAATAACTAATGTCCGTGCAGTTTAGTTCTACCTGTCCATAATAGGAACAGACACATGCACATTACATATTAGTTTAATTTGGATCTCACAGTCCTATCTGCCTTCTCCCTCTAAACATAGACAGTTTAGGTTTCTGGAATCGCTGCTGTAATCCCTCATTCCATTACCAAGTCTCCGGGCTGCTGTGTGGTGTCTGGAAGAGCACAAGCTCTAGAAATGCAAATGAACAGCATGTGGGAGACATTAACTGCTGTACCTAAACCATCTTAAAACTAAGTCAACTACACTAAAAGATGGGGTTAGAAAGGCTTAGGAGTGCCACTGTCTTTGGCACAAAAGCCTTTCCCGCTCTTGATACTGACCATGTCCATTAGCCTCAGAACGAAATTCCAGAAACTGCTCCCTACTGTCAGTGCATCAGTGATCTTCCACCACTCCTCAGAAAGACACAAGAGACCACTGCCCTATTTCAGAGTATCTTCAGCCTCTCTTAAGTAGAAACCACATGGCCAAAAAGCTTCAAGTTCACAAACTCTTTCTCAGGCACATTTTTAATACGTCAAATGGATCAGTTTCTCAGATGATGTGGATTTAGAGGTCTGAGTAAACTGGCTATCTGTGACAAATGGTACATTCCCAGCTAAGGGTCACTAAATAATTGCCTACATGGAAGTCACAGCGATAAAGCCTGGCAGTCTTGTGAGCATTAAGAAAAGAAGAGCAGGACTGGATATTGGAGAAGCATGTTTTAGTTGTGCTCCATAATTTTTAGCAATTAAAGAAAGTCACAGTATGATGAATAGCTTTTATGGAAAGAAAATATCTGTGCACATTTCCCTTTCTTCCATCCCAACGACTGATTGGTCCCAGTTAGACTCACCTACTGTTCTCATGAGCCTGGTGATGGTGAGCAGCACAAAAACACACATGGTCTTCCCAGCAATCTTCATGCTGGCGTCTGCTTTCACGGCTCAGGCAGCTCCATCACTCCATCCATCCCACCGTCAACCTAGCTGTGATCATGGGGAACATTTCTTGCCTGCCAGTGCATCCTCAGCAGCCAATGTCAATGTTTTCTCTCCCCTTTTCCCATTCCTCTCCTATCTGTGCATGCTCCTGATCGACTGGCTCCTCAAGGCTGGAGAGGTTCCTCCTTCTGACTTTTCAGAGCACTAGGCTTCCTGTGCTGAGAGCCTAGGCGAACGCTGAGGAAACAGATTGAACAACTCTGCCTTCCGTTCATTGGCTCTGCTCAGGAGGCTGATGAGTGAAGATAAACCCTGCAGCAGAGCTCAGAGGGGGTAAAAGCAGAGGAGATTATTCAAGTCTGAGTTTAATATCAAAGAGGAAATCTTCATCTTGGGAAGCTAGACAGAAACTTATTCTTCGTATTTGTCACTACTACTACTGCTGCTACTACTACTACTACTGCTACTTCTTTATGACTTCTTTGTCACTGCCTCCAAGAAAATTCCTTCTCATGACTCCCTCAAAAAAATAAGCAGTCTCAAGTCTTCTCTGTAAGTGACATTTTTAATGATTTCTCTCTTCAGTCACTACTTAGCTACTGGCGGCGTAGTTCCCATCTTGAATAATAAGGCTTTCCAGACCCTGGGGGGAGAAACTGAGTTTTGAAGGGGAAAACAAGCAAATTTTACATACTTTTCAACAGAAATAATACAAAAATTGAAGCTGGCCCACATCTTTCACTGAAAAACTGTTTGTTTTTTTCAGAATACTGTTGTGGGGGATACTGTACCTGTTTCCCCACTTCCTCACTGCTCTAGTAATTTCAGATTCAGAGTTTCTTTTCCTTTCTTAAGCCACAGCACTTCCCCAGCACAGTTCTGTGGGGCTGCAGTAGAGAAAAGGCCTCAGCTGTTGAAAGCTACAAGTCAGAATAATTACCACTGAGGACAGAGACATAAGAGGTAAAGACAGAAAAGAGATCAAAGTTGGCAGGAAATTGAAATGCTCAGGAGCCAGGACTGCACACCACATTTGAACATCGGCAAGTTGTACCGATGACAGTAGTCTGATGTTCTGGTAATTTTGTTTGATCAGACTGGTGGTCAAAAATGGTCAGCATTGATGTGCACTGGAAGAGAGGAGTGTGAATTAAGGTCCTATATAAATAAGTAAAAAAAAACTGATAATGATCATACAAAGAAAATCAGGTAAGACAGAAATTTCACTGGATCATCTTGGTCCCAGGATCATCTTATTGACGACAGTTTTGTGTGGGAGGGCGTTCTGTATATTTTTCCCCTCTTGATTTTTTTAATTCATTTTAACATTTTGACACTCCTCCGCATTGTTCTGAGGTTTTCGATATGCTGTTCACAGTAATGCTCTGGTTTATTTTCTGTGTATTTACCACTGATCTGGGAATTAGTAATGCTTGTGAATAGATATCATAGCTATATTTTAGACAAGGGCATGGAGAGGAAGAAGAGTTGTTTATGTAAGTACAGATTGAGATACAAGGCTGGAGAGAGAAGTAGGCTACATGTAAGCAGTATGAAGCTTCAAATATAAAAGAAATTGTGCTCAAACTTGATGCAAAGACAAGAGGAAACTAAGGTGGTGTAAACATGTGGACATGTGGCGTACTGGATAGATGATTGCTGTGTGAATGTGAAAGAATGAAAAGATGCAATGAGATAGAGGAGATTTTGGAAGAAGGCAAACTATCTTCTAAATAAGAAAAGCCCTCCTTTAAGGTGTCATATTGAAAGGTCTCTGCCATTCCTACAGGAATTCAGTTGGAACCAGAAGTTAGACAGCAGGCTTCTTTTGGTAGGCAGTATTATTTAAGATGTCATTAAGTTGCTTTGGGAGCAACTTTCTGGTTGAACCCCGGGTTTCTAGAAACAAGTGTGGGGCTCCTATGAGCAGGTGTGGTGGATTGACTTTGGCTGGTTGCCAGGTGCCCACCACGCCACTCTATCACTCCACCTCCTCAACTACACAGGGGGAGAAAAATACGACAAAGGCTTGTGGGTACAAAAGTACAGGGAGATCAGTGAGCAATTACCGTCATGGGCAAAACAAGAAGGTCTTTCAGGCAGTGACATGGTTTACAGCGTGTGTTTCTAGCCAACCGGTAGTTGCTTCCACCACAGTGAATAAGTAGCACTGACCTTGGTATGTTCGTGGCAGTAGTCCAATATATTCAATCTCCCAGGCCTCGCCATGTTGAAAACCCATCCACCGCCCTGTGTTCCAGGGACTTTATTTGTGTGGCTTGCTTTATTGCGGCACACCTTTCACATTCATGAATGATCTGTGTGATGGCCTCCATGGTCAGGTCCACCCCTGAATCACAAGCCCATCTGTATGTTGCATCTCTCCCTAAATGTCCCAACGTTTCATAGGCCCATCGAGCTACAAATAGCTCACTCTTACGCTCCCAGTCCAGGTCCACCTGAGCTACTTCAATTTTGACAGCCTTGTCTACCTATTCATTGTTTCAATGTTCTTCAGTGGCATGGCTTTTGGGCATGTGAGCATCTACATGGTATACCTTTAGAGTGATGTTTTCTACCCAGGCAGCAATATCTTGCCACAATGCAGCAGCCCAGCCAATTGGTCTTCCACTGCTGTAGCCACCCCTATAGGGCATTAGCCACCATCCACGAGTCAGTGTAGAGATAGAGTACTGGCCTCTTTTCTCATTCTGCAATTTCTAGGGCTAGTTCGATGGCTTGCCCTTCTGCAGACTGACTTGAGTCACCTTCTCTTTCAGCAGCTTCAGTGACTTGCCATGTGGGACTCCACACAGCAGCTTTCCACTTCCAATGGTTTCCTACAGCACAACAGCATCCATCAGTAAACAGACCATAATGCCTTCCATCTTCTGATAATTCATTACATGGTTGTGCCTCTTGGGCACGAGACACTTTCTCAGGCAATGCTCCAAAATCTCTGCATTCTGGCCAGTCCATGATCTGTTCCAGATTCTTGGGTGGTTGGGTTTCCCCAGCTGAGCCTGCTGCATGATCAACACTACCCACTTATTCCATGTAGCGCTGGTTGCATGATTTGTAAAGGGGATGATTTCTTTGAACACCCAGTGTAGCATGGGCAATCAGGGTGCCAAGAGAAGACATGCTTCTGTACCAACAACTTCTGAAGCAGCTTGAACACCCTCATATGCTGCTAGTATGTCTTTTTCAATTGGGGTGTAGTGGGCTTCTGATGCTCAGGCTTCTCCTGATGTTTTCTGCTAGAGGCTCCAGGTGAGACCATGCTCCCCAGCTGCAGTGCAGAGTACATTTTGCACAGCTGGTCCTGTCCAGACAGGCTCAAGAGCTATCACATGAGTCATCTGCTGCTTGATCTGCTCAAAGGCTTGTTGCTGAAAGCCCCACTCGAAATAGTTCTTCTCTCATGTTACTTGATAGAGAGGGCTCACAAACTGATTATAACCTGGAATACACATTCTCCAGAATCCCACGAAGTTTAGGAAAGCTTGTGTTTCTTTCCTGTTAGCTCGTGGAAACACAGTTGCTCTTTCGTTGATCACATCCATAGGGACATGAGGACGACTAGAAATCTGAGGAGGACTGAGTCTGAAAAGTACTGCAACAGTTCCTTCTTCTACCTTGTGAAAATTCTGCTACAGGCAACAGAACTTGGGAAGTGAGATATGAGAAGTCTGTGGCAGGACGTGACTGAAAACAAATTTACCAGAAAAAGTGACGAATACTTTACTTCTATTTCACTGGAGCCTGTCCTCTCAGCCACACATTGAGAGCCAGGATCCCACGACAGAGGAATTAGCCTGAGAAAGGCCAGCGTAGGACAGAGGATGACCAAAATGGAGAAGTGATGTATGTAGAGCAGGGAAAGTTCTCAGGGTCTGCTGACTGCATCAGTCAGAAAAGTAGTGTGCATTTGATGGAAAGGAGGAGAAAGAGAGGGATAAACTGATTGTGATAGCTGAAGCCTGAGACACAGCTGAGGATGAAGACGTTGCCAACAAGGTGCAATTAAAGATACACTTCCAGTAAGTGCACATTTCCACACAGTGGCAAACTCAATCATTGTTTGTTTAAGGTGCTACGCAGAGCCATCACAGCCTTCCTGGAGACTAAACTTTCCCTGTTCTGTGTTCTGAGAGTACAGATCTGGGCTCTGCCTGTGGTTTTCAGTGTGGGTTATTGCAGATCCATTTTATGTTAATTATCAGAATGTCATCAGATGTTATTTGAGAAAGGCAGAGTCTGTGATCTGTTCTGTTTGAAGTGGTTTTACTCAGCCTTAAAGTCCCTGCTGACAGCAGATTCCGTACTAATAACTCATTCAACAAGAAGTGCAGGAGCTGTAAACAGGATTTTAATTATCAAGGTGCAGACAGAAATTAAATTCTTTCCAGGAACTTCATTTCCAATGATGACATGAATATCAGATTGCTGAAACCTCAGCTGGTATAAACTTTTAAGCTGGCCTGGTTCTGTTGACTTCTCATGGAGCTACCATGACTTTCTCCATGTGAGAATTCTCCCTGCTGTCTCTTTCTATGTCAGCTGAAGATCCTAAATCTTGGGGCCATACAGATAGCTCAACAGGCTGCACATAAATGAGTGAATCCAATTGTCTCTAGAGCTGGGAATGGCTCTGGAAAAGCATTGTGATTCTATGTGTACTGGCAGATCTATTTTACTCACTGAGTAAGTGCTCACCTCAGCAATGAAATACAGTGGTTTTGTCTGGCACTTTGGCAAGGAAGTGAAATTAAGGCTGGATTACATTATGCAATGGCCTTGTCAAATGTACAGGACATTAAAATCACTGTAAGTCTTTCAGAGATAGTAGTGTGTGTCACAATTGTCAGTGAATTTCCTGCCTTTTGATGACCTGTCTTAGAGCTTAGAACTTGTTACATTTGTAATGAAGGAAAAATAATTTCATAAGTTTTATTTGCATACTCTGTAACAAAATACATTAATTTTGCATATGGGAGTATGTGAAAGAGAAAGCAAAAGTATTGTATAGCATCACTTCTTGTGTGGGCAGATGTAAAATTTCTCCTGTATCTACCTTGCTGACACACTTTACTCTGACTGGCTGTTCCTCCAACTATTCCAGTTTTAAACTCTAACAGACTTCATCCAGTCTACCTGGAATATGATTGACAAGTCTGACCAAAATTTGATTGTCTGAATGTCTGCAATTGCCGACTCTATCAT